TATATATATATATATACATACATACATACATACATATACATATACATATACACACACACACACACACACACATACATATATCTATTATATAATGTAGCTCTGACTGGAATAACACAGGCTGACCCAATTTTGGAAGCTAACCAGGGTCATCCCAGGTTTAGAGTTAGCTAGGTCCCCCCTAGCCACTGGTGGGGGATGAGCAGGTAGGGTTGCAAGATGCAGGTTGGGAAACTCCTGGAGATTTGAGGATGAAGCCTGGGGAAGACAATGGGGTACAGTGCCATTAAGTCCACCCTTCAAAGCATCCATTCTCTCCAGGGGAACTAATCTCTTTAATTTGGAGATGAGCTGTAATTCCAGGGGTCCCCAGGTCCCACATGGAGTTGGCATACCCACTCTGGTTACTACTTAGATGGGAGATCATCAAGACAGTCACAGGGTTGCTATACAGAAGCAGGCTCTTGCTTTGAAACCCTTAAGGGGTCCCCATAAGTCAGCTGTGACTTGATGGCACTTTCCACCACCATTACATAATGTAACTTTGCTGGATCAGACTAAGGGTTCCTCTAGCTCAGCATCTTGCTACCCTCAAGGGCCAGCCATGTTTCTCTGGGAAGTCCATAAGCAGAGCATGAAGTCATAGCCCTTCCCCTTTGGATGTGTGCAGCATCTTTTATTCAGAGGGAGACTGCATCTGAACCTGGAGCAATCATGGCTGAGAGATAGATAGAGCTATTCTCCCAAAAGCTCCTTTAAAAATGCCATTCAAACTATCAGAAGATCCCTCAGACAATGAATTCCTTAAGTCCACCATGTGTTGTATGAAACATTAGTTCAATTTGTCTGGTTTGAACTTGCTGCAAATATTTAATTGTTTTAAAGGAATAATTATCCTAGTCCTAACTCTTGCAGGCAATAGAGAAGCCACAAGGTGGCTAAAAGGGAGAGTGGAAGGATTCCACTGATCCATCTGACAGCAAGAATACAACCCTTGAGATGGTCTGCCAAGTCCAACCAGAGCCAAGGGATGCAAAACTGCCAAGGGATGAATTTTCTGGAGGGCCACATGTTACCGCTGCCACCAATTATGACGAACCCCCTTATTTCAGACTATTTGGGGATTTGTTCCTTTAAACTTTCGCAAGTTGGAGGAGTCTTATTTTCCACTGACACCGTCTGCCCCCCTCTTTCAGGGCTGGTACCCACACAGTTCGTCCCTCTATCACACACCCAGCCAGTTATTGATGAGATCTTTTTATAAATATTAATCTCTGTGGTTTTTCTTGAGCACTGCCCTTTTTCTGGGATGAAGTTTATGGTTTAACTTTGTCAGATACTTAGCTCTGTCAGACACTGAGGCACCCACAACATGGAACAATAAAACCAACTGAAGATTTTATTTACAAGGCCAGGCAGGCAGGGAATATATACACAAGGGGGAAGCTGATGCTTGTGTATGCGTAGTTTCAAGGGTGTGGCATATGCAAATAAGTTATGCTAATGAGCTCCTGCACCTCTTTTTCTATGAAATGACCCCTGATCTCAACCCCTGTGCTATTCTAGATTGCCAGTGTACGTTTGGATTCCTCAGGTACTCTCCACCTCCACAGAGAAATACCTCCGCTGTGTCTTGGGTTTTTTCCTTTTCCTTTTTCTTTTTTGGACACCCACTAGTCCAATAAACTCTCCTGGCACACACTAATTCCACTAAACCCAACTCTCTCTCCAGCAGGGTATAGATTCTATGTGAGAGAGAAATGAATCTCTTGTTTAACCACCAGGAGCTTATTTTCCTTTTTAGATTTCACTATGGTATAGAATCACATTTGGCTTTTCTCAGATTCCCTTAATATTGGAATCTGTAGAGAAATCTCATTTACTCCTTGGACTCAGTGAGATCCAACATGACTTGTCAGTACCCTGGCACAGTACCCACCGACCAAAAAAACTGAAAGTCTCAACAGCCAAACTCCAACTGTGAAGAGGGTTTTTTATCATTAGAACCCCCACCCAGAGTTCTGCATCAGAATTACATCACCACTGCTAGTCACGTGACTGCAGGTGTCTTTTCTTGCAAGCTCATCCCAAGCCTGGAGTCCGTCACAGCCCCCCTCTCCCCCTCAAGAGATTTGGAAGGCTTAAGGGCTAAATACACAATACATTTTTAAATAAATGGTGTGGTTGTACCCCAGACCTAACTTGTTTCACCTCAGTCACATGGCAGCTGCAAAGGAATGTTGCTTTTAAACTCTGAAGGAGCCAATTTTGATTGAGACAGCACTGTGCAGGGAGAAGGAAGCACCTATCTGCCTCCCCACACTCCTTTTTCCTCAACCCCAATGTCTCTGTGAGGAACACATGTCTATCATTCCACAAAGGAAACACATGGCTTTCCACATACACTATACACCCTATATATAGCAAGATTGTGATAGATTAAATCCAATTATTTAACAAACCTCAAATAATATTAATGGAATGGTGATATTTAATTTTTACATAAACATTAACTCTATTTTCCTCTGTACTGAACCCTATTATTTCTTTGATAGTTAAAAAATGTCCTTGACAAGTATAAATGTTTCATATAATTTTCTTTCAATTTCCCCATTTTCCATTTTTCTTTCTGTATCCCTGCTATTTTTTTAAAAAAACAAATAAACATATTTTTTAAAAAGGAAACACGTGGCTACCATTCCACAAAGCTAACATGGCCGCTTGGCCGTGGTTCATGCATGCATGTTTCTAAGCTCCTTGGAAGATGGCCATTAAAAAAGAAGAAAGAAAAGAAAGGGGGGAAATCAACAATTGAGTGATGAGCAATTGAGCAATGTTTCTGCAATTAAGCAACAACTTGTAGATTTATACTCAAGTTCAACCAAAGATCCATTGGCAGACCTTGGGAATGGGAAAGTCATAAAATGGGGGGAATTAATTGGACTAGTTTGGTTTCTGGTAAAATGGGGAGATTAATGATTTCCTTCACAAGCTTGTTGCAGAGTAGTGAGCTACAGCTGATGAATCATACTGTAGAAATATTTTTGAAAACACGAATGCCACAAGCTATACTTCCTACACGTTCCACAACGCACTTACTTGCAATAAACCTCATAATACTGACATCGTGGTCACAAATACTCTGCTGAAACACTACACAACAGCAATAGTTCTATTAGTAAAACAAAGGTACCTTCTCGTTTGACCTGCGTCGTATGCACTTGAAATCCCCGAGTATTTGTGGCCACACACTTGAAATCTGTATTGAACTCTTGGATGCTACCCTGATGTTGATAGATATGCTTCTTACTGTTTAGTTAAGGCAAAACTTGCCTAGGCTTATTATTTTGAAATCCTTATTAGTCTGTGCTAAGTTCTATACTGAATAAACTTATTCTGGTTTTCTAATTTGTCTGCATTGGGGTAACTGGACTTCAAGCCTTTTTCCTTGTGCCTGCTGCTCACCAATTGCACTACCTTAGTAAGATTAACTGCACAGCTCTAGATTGAGTTGTTAATGTGTTAAGTCCCAGAGGCCAGTTAAGAGTCTGAACCTTGCTCTTGGGCTGGAAAGGGACCCTAGTTAAAAAAGGTTCTGGTGGCTATTGTCTTGAAATCCAGAGAGGGCACTCTACCTTTCTGGATTATTGTTAATGTATTGAGCCAGTGTAGAGTTCTTCCCCTCATCCCTGACTGGCCTGGGGGGGCAGGATCTATACAAGCCTCTTCCTCAGATTCTGAACATTTTTTTTCCACCTTGTAGATTGCTGCCCAAATCTGCCCAGAAAGAGTAGGTTTGGGCAGTGAGCATTTAAATAATTTGCATGCCAGCATTTTCAGTGTTTCAGCACTGGAGGGCTCCTGCACTGAAACAAAGATCAGTCCCACTGGGAGGCCAGATACCAGTCCCTTCCTTACCATTCCTTCATTCATACTCAAGAGCAAATTCTAGCATGTCCCTGGGCACCATTTTCAAAAACCTTTTTGCAGGGCATGCAGCTAGCCTAAAAACATGCAGTCAAAGGAAACAAAGTCTTGTGAGCTGAGTACCCGATGCAACTCAGGTAAAGGAATTCAAAATTGGGGGGAGGGAGCCAATGAGAGAGAACACTCAAATGTGGGGAAAGAGGCAACCAATAAGGGGTGAGACACCTACACCAGGTACAAGTCTCAGCTTTGGTGTGGTGGGTGGGGAATGTACTTGTACGGGGGGGGGTCCTCGGGCTGCTAAAGTACTACACTGCTTCAGTGCACACACAACAAAAAAACAAAAAAAATAATCACAATGTGAAGAAGAAGAGAAGAAGAAGAGATTGGATTTATACCCCGCCCTTCACTTGGAGTCTCAGAGCGGCTTACAAACTCCTTTCCCTTCCCCTCCCCACAACAGACACCCTGTGAGGTGGGTGGGGCTGAGAGAACTCTGACAGAAACTGCTCTTTTTCAAGGACAGCTGTGCCAGAGCTTGTGACTGACCCAAGGTCACATCAGCAGGTGCAAGTGGGGGAGTGGGGACTCAAACCCGGTTCTCCCAGATTAGAGTCCGTGCACTTAACCACTACACCAAACTGTGAATGTAACAGATGGGACGCAGACAAGGGAAAAGTGAAGAAAACATGTGAGTGTGTAATGATCGCAGATGGGACGCAGACAAGGGAAAAGTGAAGAAAACATGTAAGTGTGTAATGATCGCACCAATAGTGTGATCATTGGACCTGCCACAGCACTGACAAAAACCCAGAAGGCAGCTGCAGCCTGGAAAACGCCTCTGCCACAGTTCCTCCATCTGGCAAAACGCTTCCACTGTTGCATTTTGCCCATCATACATGCCTTAAGCCATAGGAACTTGCCCACGAAAAAAAGAAATGGCAACTCTAGATGTTTCTGTTTCCTTCTCATTTCTCCCATTAAGCTCTCCCTTATAACTGAGGGGGGACATGTGACAGCATTCCAACAAGACTTACTGGCGCTTGCCTTCCGTGACTCTGCCCTTCCGGTAGACCAAATCAATGTCCGTATCATTTGCCTGCCACCAGACGTCCGTATAAAACTCATGGCTTGCTGCAATATACACTTTACATGGGATGATCAGTCGGGAACCTAGTTTAAAAGGAAGCATGGAGATTTTAAAAACAAACAGACAGGTCAAGTTACATGTTGATTAGTGAGGAATAACCACTTCTTAATCCATAAATGTCCCAGGAAAGGGTTAAAATGTTCTTCACTATTCAACAAGCCGGGATTAAGCAGAGAATGAAGACACAGCTTTAATGAGGCATTTCACTTTGATCGAGTGTATTTTATTTTCAACTGTTATCTGGGATCTGGGAAAATAACACAACAAAAACTGAAACATACAACTAACCCTATCCAGAGAAGAAATTAAGAATTAACCAGATCAACAGACACCCTGTGAGGTGGGTGGGGCTGAGAGAACTCTGACAGATGACAGGTAACAAGATGAACCATAGTTGTCCTTTTGGCTTCTGAATGGTCAAGAGACTGCTTGCGCCCACACTACAGAGCACATATTAGGGCTGCCAAGTGGGGGCGGGGGGCGGGGAAACCCCCGCTTTGGAGGCCCGATTTCCGCCACGGCTGAATCAGGCCCCAGGGGGAACTCCGCCCCCCGAAGCTGCGTCACCAAAGGTGATGCATGACGTAGAGCACGTTGGAGGCGTGGCCCAGATCATCGGGTTTCCCCCCGACAATCTGGGCCACGCCCCCAACATGCTCTACGTCGTGCGTCACTTCCTGTCCCGATGCAGCTCCCGGATCGAGGAGACGCTCCCCCGCCGGTGAGTCAAAAAGACTTGGCAACCCTAGCACATATTGAAAAATGTGGCGTCGTGGATGGAGTGGATAAAGTGTCAGACTAGAATCCTGGGAGATCCAATTTGTATCCCTACTCCACAAGCCAGCTTGGTTTAGTGGTTAAGAGTGGCAGACTCTGATCTGGAAAACCGGGTTTGATTCCTCACTCCTCCACATGAAGCCAGCCGGGTGACCTTGGGTCAGCCACAGTTCTCTCAGAGATCTCTCAGTCCCAGCTACCTCACAGGGTGTCTGTTGTGGCGAGAGGAAGGGAAGGCGATTGTAAGCCACTCTGAGATTCCTCCGTGTAATGAAGAGTGGGTTATAAAACCAACCCTTCTTACTCTTCTTCTTCCACCATGGAACCTTGCTGGGTAACTTTGGGTCGGATATTCAGCCTAATGTACCTCACAGGGTTGTCGTTGTAAGAAATGGAGGAAGGGAGAGCCATGTTCTAAGCCACTAGTATGACTGAAGCCTCCAAATATTCTCCTGTTTAGGGTTACCAGCCTGCAGGTGGGCTCTGGAGTTCTCCTGGAATTACAACACATTTCCAGACTACCGAGATCAGTTTGCCTGAAAACAATAGCACCTTCAGAAGGCAAACCCTGGCCTATGGTATACCATGGAACCTAGGTGAAATCCACCCCCACCTCCCAATCCCACCCTCCACAGGCAATGCCCTCAAATCTCCAGGAATTTCTCAGGCCAGAGTTGGCAATTGTATTTCATACTCAAGTCAGCCTAAGGCACCTTGTAACCAGCTTAGAAAATCAACATCTAGACTGTATTTTTTGAGCAGAGGCTGAAGTGGACCCTGATTCATTGAATTGTACAACGCTATCTGCCAGCTATAGAATTCGAAATGTTGCCCATTTATACTGGTTGTAGTTCATTTAACCACATCCTTCATGAGTCAGGCCTACATTCCAATGTAGTTGTCTGTGCTCAGGAATGATTTATAGCTGCAGAGCAACTTTATGTCATCAATGCAATCTTATTCACAGAACTACCAACTGGAAATGGTCCTCTGAAAAGGGCATCAGGTCCCAGGGGCTCTCCCAAAAGGAAGATTAAGCCCCATTGCAAATCTATGGCATTATGCCAGAAGGAGAAAAAAAATCCCCCAAACACACCGTCTGCCAATTGTACAAAGCCAACATTTCCCAGATTCTTATCTTGCTAACATAAATCAGGTTCAGCATTCAGTAACCCCCTTTGCTGCCATGGTTGCTCAGAGGTTAAGACACTGATCTGCAGGCTGGAAGGTCTGTAGCTCGGCAGTTCGAGACTCGAGTGCCACATGATGGAGTGAGCTCCCGTCTCTGGCCCCAGCTCCTGCCAACCTAGCAGTTCGAAAGCAAGAAATTGCAAGTAGGTAAATAGGTACCACTTCGGTGGGAAGGTAACAGCGTGACCACGGAAACATCTTCAGACAACACTGGGTCTTCGGCTTGAAAACAGAGATAAGCACCGCCCTCTAGAGTCCGATCTGACTGGCTTTTGGCAAGGAAAACCTTTACCTTTACCTTTGCTGCATCTGGTCTCTGTGGAACAGAGGCCATGTAGATCTCCTCAGAGGAGGAAGGGAAGAAGCTTTTCTAGCATGGCATGTAGAATCCCGGTTTCATTCACCTGACCCTGCGTTTATTGAAATGCAGTTATTTCAATCCACTTTGTCAGAGCCGGAGTTGAACCACAGTTGTTGTTGTTCAGTCACACTGTCGAGTCCGACTCTTCGCGACCCCATGGACTAGATCCCGCCAGGCCCTCCTGTCTTCCGCCGTCCTCTGAAGTTGGCTCAATTTCATGTTCGTTGCATCAATGACACTGTCTAACCATCTCATCCTTTGCCGTCCCCGTCTTCTTTGACCTTCAATCTTTCCCAGCATCAGGGTCTTCTCCAGTGAGTGCTCCCTTCTCATCTGGTGGCCATAGTATTTGAGCTTCCGTTTCATAATCTGGCCTTCCAGGGAACAGTCAGGGTTGATTTCTTTTAGGATTGACTGATTGGATCTTCTTGCAGTCCAAGGGACTCTCAAGAGTCTCCTCCAGCACCATAGTTCAAAAGAATCTATTCTTCGGCGCTCGGCCTTCCTTATAGTCCAACTCTCGCTGCCATACATGACTACTGGGAATACCATTGCTTTGACCATGCGGACTTTTGTTGGCAGGGTGATGTCTCTACTTTTTATCATGCTGTTTAGGTTCGCCATCGCTTTCCTCCCAAGGAGCAGGCGTCTTTTAATTTCATGGCTGCAGTCACAGTCTGCGGTGATCTGGGATCCCAGGAACGTGAAGTCACTACTTCCACGACTTTGCCTTCTATTTGCCAAGGAGTGATGGGGCCGGATGCCATGATCTTAGTTTTTTTGATGTTGAGCTTCAAGCCCACTTTTGCGCTCTCCTCTTTCACCCTGAGCAAGAGGCTCTTAAGGTCCTCTTCACTTTCTGCCATTAGAGTGGTATCGTCTGCATATTGCCACAGTGGCAATATCCAAATCAAGATCTGGCAATGAGTCGTGCCCTGCCTGCCTTAGGCTGGAGGAAGTTTCTCCAGCTGAAGGGGCCTTCGAACTTTGCTCTACAGGAGTGCTGGAGAAATCGGAGTCTCCAAGTGCGGCAAGCAGAGTGTCCTCCTTTACTGATCAGGCAAGGACAGAAGGTCAGGCGGGGAATGGAGTCAAGATTCCTTTTGTGCCCATCTAACTACAAAGGGTTAAGGTGGGAAGGGGGAAGTGGCGGTGAAGGGACTTCAGTTAAAAGATTTCCCTGCACTCCTAACAAGCCTTCTGAGGATCCCTGGGAAGAGAGGATCAGAGCTGATCTACATGTTCCATGTAGACGGGAACGCTTTCCGCCAATAGCTTTTATTTTTAAATGGGAAGAACTGAACAAGAGCATTGATGCTGATCAAAGGACTTTGCGGGTAGAGGCGATGCTTAACCCTTTACTCACCAGCCATTTGCCTTTTCAAAATTAAGACCCCGAGGGAGAGGGCCCCCCCACGGTCCTAAGAAGCTTGCCTGGTAGGCATAGGAGAGGGGGCCTTTTCACTGGCAGCCCCCCCCCCAGTTATGGAACAACCTCTCCAGGGAGATGCGCCTGGCCCCCTCACAGTCAATCTTCAGAAGACAGTTTTAATTAGGACTACATTGGACCGATGTCGTCTTTTATTTCTTGGCAGTCCTAATTGAAGCTTTTAAATCTAAATTGTGATCTTTTATGTGTTTTAAAAAGCTGTTGTTCTATTTAAATTGTTTTTAATGTGTTTTTTTAACAGCTGTTGTGTTTTAAGTGCCTTGAGTTGTGCAAGGGAGAAAAGCGAGTAATAAATGTTTTAAATAAATAAATAAATTAACCTCCAGCTGTTTCAGACAAATGGCAAAAAAAAAACCAACCCAGCCCTGCCTCATCATCACCCACCCTTGAAATAAGAACATAAGAGGAGCCCTGCTGGATCAGACCAGTGGTCCATCCAGTCCAGCATCCCAACTCACACAGTGGCCAGCCAGTTCCTATGGAGGGCCAACAACAGGGCATAGAGGCTGAGGCCTTCCCCTAATGTTGCCTTCTGGTTCTGGGATTCAGAGGATTAGTGCTTCTGAATGTCACCATGGCTAGTAGCCACTGATAGAACTATCCTCCATGAATCTATCTAATCCCCCTTTAGAGCTGTTTATTCCTGAGGCCATCACTACATCCCCTGGCAGTGAATTCCACATTTAAATAATTCTCTCTGTAAAGAAGTATTTCCTTTTGTCCATCCTGAATCTACTGCCCATCAGCTTCATTGGATGCCCTCAAGTTCTAGTATTTTGGGAGAGGGAGAAAAATTTCTCTATGTTAACTCTCTCCACCCCATGCATAACTTCATAAACCTCTATCATGTCCCCCCTTAATCTGTGTCTGCCTTACATTTAAGCACACACACATGCACACACATCAGGAAACAGACACATGGAACTTCAGAGATCCTAGGTCTCCCCTTCAAGGGTCCTCATTTAGTAAACGGGAGTTACAGCATTAAGCCCAACATGTAACAAGTCAGTTACTGTAAACCGAGGATTTTAAAAAATTATGTATTCATCCCCTTAGTCTATTGCAAATAGTATTAACTCTTCCCTGATTGTAAAATCTTCATAGGCAAATCTGTTCAACCAGCATTCATTGTGGCGGTTCCATTATAATTCTAATTTATTGTTTTTCAATTGTTTACATTAAGGTAAATGCCCCCATCATTTTGCATTTATAAGACTGACTGTCTCTTGGACTTACCCATAGCTGCCAGTGTAATCCTCTCTGTTGGATATATAATCACAGGTATGCTTTTCCTCACTGGATCTAGTGAAAAGCGGTTTTGAAGAATGCATTAGATTTCTGGGGAAAATATATTAGAATCACAACACATACATAAGAACAAATTTTGAGTCCAGTGGCACCTTTAAGACCAACAAAGATTTATTCAAGGTATGAGCTTAGGCGTGCACGGGCAATTCCTCACCCTTACTTAGGCAATTCCTTCCCATTTACGAAAGTTTTTAAAGGCACTGCTGCTCTCTGCTGGTGATTGTAAGTACAGACAAACAAATTAACCAGTCTGCGTGGATTTATCAGCATAACGGACAAAGCACCCTGTATGAAAATTTTTAAAGACCAGTGGAATGGATATCTTTATCTACCCTTGCTGCCGCTAATTAATATATTTCCCAGCCAGACTGAAGTCATTTCCAGGAGCTCTTTGGGGGCATCATTATTCATTTATGTAAACTGGGGGCATTTAAATCTCTACCAGCCACAAGGGCGGTGAATTCCCAACACTCACTTGACAAAAAGCCAAAGATTTTAAGTCCGCTGAGAAACTATTTCAGACCGTTATCTGAGACAACCAGCAAGTATGTGGTCTGGCTAAGCTCATATCACTGGCAGTGGATATGCAGAGAAATTTCAAGAGCAATTTTTCCTTCCACAGTTCATTACCTTCATGGGAAATGACATAGTCAGAGATGTCTCTGTGTTCCACAGATCTGTAACTGCACCACACAAGTGCAGTGCAGTGTTGTGGTTAGAATGTTAGACTAGGATTGGGGGCACCTGGTTCCCCAGTCAACCTTGGGAGGATACTGTCTCTCTGTCCAGCCCTGCCTTATAGCATGGTTGTGAAAATAAAAGAGGGGGAGGGTACCATATGTGCTGCTGTGATTTTTACCACTCAAAGTTTTTGTGTAAAGGCATAACACTACAGCAATCTAATAAAATCAAAGGCATAACATTTGCAACCTATAAAACTTTTTTTAAAGCAACTTTCTAGTCGTTATAGATATGGAGACAATTTTGTGACCACTGGTAGATAAAATATTAAGAACATAAGAACATAATAGATGCCAATGTTGGATCAGGCCAAAGGCCCATCCCATCCAACACTCTGTGTCACACAGTGGCCAGAAATACCAGTGCCATCAGGAGGTCCACCAGTGGGGCCAGGACATTAGAAGCCCTCCCACTGTTGACCTCCCCCCCCAAGCACCAAGAAGACAGAGCATCACTTGCCCCAGAGCCCCTATCTATACCTTTTGGCTAATAGCCACTGATGGACCTCTGCTCCATATGCTTATCTAATTCCCTTTTGAAGCCGTCCATGCTTGTAGCCGCCACCACTTCCTGTGGCAGTGAATTCCATGTGTTAATCACTCTTTGGGTGAAGAAGTACTTCCTTTTATCCGTTCTAACCCGACCACTCAGCAGTTTCATGGAGTGCCCACGAGTTCTTGTATTGTGAGAAAGGGAGAAAAGTACCTCTTTCTCTGCCTGCTCTTTCCCATGCCTAATCTTATAAACCTCAATCATGTCACCCCTCAGTCGTCGACGTCTATTAAGAACACAACAGAGGAAGGCTGAGAAGGACTTCTGTTATTCACGGAGATGGCCCTTGGATTTCTTGCTCCCTTTTCCCTCCTTATAACTGGCAGAGGCACTATATAATAAACAAGTGAAGGTATCCAGATTTAAATAATTTACTCTGCTTGCAGAAATTGTAATATTCATGCAGAAGTTTGGATATTTTTTTTTTAAAGCAGGGTATACAGCGCACTGCAGTGAAATGCTCCACAGCACATAGGAATAAGTGGCATATTACCGAGTGTCTGTAGCCGAACAGTCCTGGTAACGTTATATTGCGTTGTTTCATGTTCAAAGGTCAGTTGGCAAGTATAGTAGCCTGCGTCATCTGAGGTCACAGAATTGATGATGAGATAATCTGTGCCCTTCAAAGCAGTGAATTTTTCATTGTCTATATTCAGAGGTGTCGAAGCCTGAGGACAATCAGAAGACAATCAGAAGCTTAGCAATCAAATACAGCAGCAGTCCTCCACGGCCAGAAGCCTAACTGCTTCTTGCTTTTGTCTCAAGTGCTCCTTGGTCAAGAGCTCTGGCTGACTCTGCATCTAGCATTTGCTCTGCAATGTGTAGCTCAAAACCACATCCAGATACCTCGAGGCAACCCCGTACTGACTGCAAAGTCACCCCTGAATGGCCGTAAACCAGCCATTTTGCAGAAGGTTCAGTAAAATCCAACAAACAAAGAGCTCGAAAGCGGCATGGATTGTGGAAGCTACCACAAAACCCAATGATCAAAGGAAGTGAAACCAGCATGCAATGCAGAGGGGAATTTCTGTTCCAGCGTGGGTTTCGTAAAACAACGGAGGGAAAAGCCAGTGCAGAATCAGCCTCTGTTGCATTTGCTGGGACTGCATGCAAAAGATTTTCCCATTGCTTTTTTTGTCAGTCCACCGCAGAGCTATTGGTGCCTACCACCAGGGGAATGGATAGCATTAACCATTATTCCCTCCCCCCAAGTCATGCCTAATATACCAAGGTGAAAATATCCCTAACTCTCAGCCCAGTGGTTCAGCACCAGAATAATGGCCAGATCCAGTCTTCATTTTTACCATTTGGATTTATTCTGTTATTAACACACGGGGCCATTTTCAGTTTAGGCTTCAGTTAGTTAATATCCAAATTAATACTTGCTCCTTTAAGCATGCTTAATTATGCACAGAAAGAGCCTGAGCTAACAAATCTTTGGCTGCTGCCACACACGCTAAGTAATCCACTTTCAATCCACTTTCAGTGCACTTTCAAAGTGGAGTTTTACTGTGTGAACTGGCAAAATCCACTTTGAAAGTGCACTGAAAGTGGATTGAAAGTGGATTACTTAGCGTGTGTGGCAGCAGCCTTTGTCTGGTTTCTATCATATGATGGTTGTTTTATTAATATTGTCCCTTTTAAGATTTAGAGCTCAGTAGTTGAGAACGCGGTGAACGCGGGTGGGGCCTAGAGATCTCTTGGAATTACAACTGATATCCAGACTAGAGAGATCCGTTCAACATGGCTGCTTTGGAGGGTAGATTAGGGCTGCCAAGTGGGGGCGGGGAAACCCCCGCTTTTGAGGCCCGATTTCTGCCGCCGCGGAATCGGGGCCCCGGGGAACTC